AGTTTTAAAATACCAAAAATATCCTTGCATTAAGATTTTAATTTAAAATTACCAAATTTATAAATTTCCTAATTTATCTATTGATTTGTGGTTAATATTGGTCTCACAGTTACCACAAACAACTCAGTTCTCCCTTGAATAGACCCCTATATATATATATATATATATATATATATGAGAACCAAAAAAGGTTGAGGACCTTGAAAACTAATCTAATCCATAGATTAACATAAATCAAGGGTCATTACATAAAAATAAAGGTATTTTTGTGAAATTGTACTGAGATTGAAGTATATTCTAGATATTATTTCATTAATCACAAATTAAAACCAAATGGGCTGAAACCAAATCATAGTTCATATCAAACAATTTCTCTTCACCTCCATTACGTCACATCTCCACCTCCATTACTGAGTTCGACTTTTAGTGAAATTGCATGATCTATGATGGCAAGTGATCGAAGAAACAACGGTAAAGACTAAATCAGAATCATAGGTAGCATTTTTCATATTTTAGTTCATTGAAATCAAAAATGCAATTTAGGGGGTTTTATAGGATTTTTAATTGTATTTTCTTGATCTATAGTTGAACTCCAAAAATACAATTTGATTACCGGAAAGTTCGTTGATTTTAGACCCATCGATTTCATCTGCATCATTCAACTTCTAGACTCATCTATTTCATGCTTACAAAGTGCTTAATGAAATGTCTCTTTTAAGGGTCGTCCCTTAGCATGTTAAATGTGAGATTTTGAACAGCGCCCCCGAAATTATGGGGCCCAAATTTACATGTGTTTAGGGTCTTTTATCGACCTGTGTAATACTATAGCCGAAGTTAATTAGGTTCAAACCGTTAGTTGTTTGGTTTTAAGTTCAAATCATTAATGGTTTAGATTTAGTTTCAGATTGTTAATCGTTTTAGGTTTAGCCCATTTTTGTTCTTAACATATATTATCTGTTATCTCATTTATGCAATGTAATCAAAAGTCTTGGATGTAGCAGTGCCTCCAAAAAAATTGGAACGTCAACTCTTTTAATAATGTCTCTATTTTCAGTCACAAACTAGACATCCTTGTGAAACAACATGTAATATATTTTTTTGAGAGATAGGATTGTAGTGGTTCATGTGAGGAAACATGCGTTTCTTATCATGAAAGGAGTGTGAAGTAACCTATTGTTGACAATGTTTATATCATGCATACAAAGTGTTCGATGAAATGCCTCTTCTAATAGTGTTTATACTTTTAGTCCCAAACTAGATATCGTTGTGAAAAAAAACCTTTAACATATTTACGTTTATTTTGGTTAAAGGGCTTTACATGTTTGTTCCTTATGTGTGCTGTGGAGGGGAAAGGGGTTATTATGAGGGATTTCACTAGAGGATGGAAGTGCGAGGTCTTGGTGGGGGGATGGAGACGATTGTCGGTGTTGGGAGGAAGCCGAAGAGAAGGATTCACATGTGTGGGTGCAACGTATCTGTGGGTGTAACGTATATATATATATCCGGGCATAGACACTTAATCATATACTTCAAATCATAAAAAGAATCGTATAAAAGTTATGAAATCATAAAAAACAGTCAGTGAAATACATGTGAAAATCAATAGAAACCATCCAAGGAGTTTTGATTTAAGCTATGATTCATGTTGTTTCACTTGTTATGTTTTTATGTATAAGTATGAATGTGTGTTTCATGTATAAACATATTTTTGTGTTTTTTTTTTTTCACACACAAAACATCTTTTGATGTTTCACATATGAAACAACACTGTATAAAACACCACTGTATAAAACACCACTTGTTCACATCTATTGTTTCATCCATCAAACAACACTCTATGAACACCATTTCTTCATGTATGTTGTATAATCTATCAAACAACACATATAAACTAGTTTTCATGGTTAATATTTATTTGTATGGTTTGTAAGCTTTACAAATTTTGTATTTAATTTGTCTGTACAATAGACTTTACTTTTCAAAACATTTAGAGGCCGTTTACCAAACACTTATCCGGTAAGCGCTTACTGGTAAAATTTTAACACTACCACTTACTTACCGGGTAAGATTTTAGTCCACCAAAACGACATTGTATGCAACAATTTACCCAGTAAGTGCTTATCATGGTAAAATCTCACTTACTGGGTAAGACTCTCGGTCCTTGTCTCTCTCTTACCGGGTAAGATTCTTGGTTCTTACAATATTTATCCAGTAAGGTAATGTAACTTAATAAGCGCTTACACGAATAACCGTTTGGTAAACGACCCCTTAATTAGAAACCAAAAATACACCTGAACTAATTGCATTAATAGGATGGAGTGAATGTAAATTTACAATACTCTATTTTCATAATTATTCCATTTTAGAAACACACAATATCATTTTAGTAAACCCACATGTAATTTAGCGACCGTTTATCAAACGTTTACTTAGGTAAGTGAACATCAAGTCACATTACCTTACCGGATGAATATGGTAAGGACCAAAAATCTTACCCGGTAAGAGCGAGACATAGATCAAGAGTCTTACCCGGTAAGTGAGGGTGATGACTCTTACCACGATAAGAGTTTACCGGGTAAATTTGTTGCATATGATACTGTTTTGTTAGACTAAACTCTTACCCTATAAGTAAATGATAGTGTTAAATTTTACCGAGAAACGTTTACCATAAAACAAAATATTTTAAGACTATTATTTCTAGAAAGAAATATTGTTACGATAAAATAAATAGGAATTCTTAAAAATCCTTTTATTTATTAATTTTCTTTTTCACATGAATTAACATTAAATGTATTTATTTATATTTCTAAAAATTGGATTAATCCAAAATGGAATCTATAAATAAAATGGCGAGCATTTCCGATTCAATCGGGAACGAAACACGAGGGACGAACACGTGTGGGAAAGAAAATATCTACGGCACCAAGAAAATATCTACCACATCAATAAAATATCTTGTTTTAACCACGGTTACTTTTTTGATCAACCATGGTTAAGCTAAGCCGTAGGAGCGGCGAGGAGCGCACTGCGCACCCGGAGCAACATAACAAACCCTAGCCTTCACTCTTTATCGTGCCTATATAAGAAACCCACCATCAAGCAATCTTATCTCGCGCTCCTCTCATTTTCCCCTTTAAGTCTCTTCTTTTTCTTTAAGTCTCTATAAAAATGGCCGCCGCTGATGTTGAGTACAGATGTTTCGTCGGTGGGCTTGCATGGGCCACATCCGACCGGTCACTTGAAGAAGCTTTCTCTCAGTACGGAGAGATCATCGATTCGAAGGTCCGTTTGTTGCCGAGATGTGATTCGGATCCATGACGATTCGGTTATGTTTGACAAATCACATGATACAAATCTCTCTTCTGTTACTGTTACTTTACTTGGTTTCTTGATCTGTTACTGTTTCTGTTACTTTTTCTGATAATCTAAAACGGTACGTTCATCCTCTACTCTTATATGAGGCGACGATCGATCGATTTTATGATTCAGTGTGTTTTGTTTTTTTTTCTGGTGTTTTTTTGGCGTGTGATCTAATTAGTTGTGTTACCTTTGTGCAGATTATTAATGATCGTGAGACTGGCAGATCTAGGGGATTTGGTTTCGTTACCTTCAAGGACGAGCAGTCATTGAGAGACGCAATTGAAGGGATGAACGGTCAGAGCCTTGACGGACGTAACATTACAGTCAATGAGGCTCAGTCTCGCAGTGGTGGAGGCGGAGGCGGTGGTCGCCGTGAAGGAGGTGGTGGATACGGAGGAGGTGGTCGCCGTGAAGGAGGCGGTGGTGGTTATGGAGGTGGTGGATACGGTGGAGGCCGTGACCGTGGATACGGTGGCGATGATGGTGGATCTCGTTACTCAAGGGGAGGCGGTGGTTCGGAAGGCAACTGGAGGAATTAGATAATAGACGTTTAGGTGCAAGTTTTATTGATCTTCGTTCCATGTTCGATTTCCGTTGTCTGCATTAGGGGTAAGGGTAAGGGTGGTGGCAATGGTTGTCATTTGCTATCGTGTTCTTCGTTTTTGACCTGTTGTCGGGTATCTGTTCTCTTTGATATTTGGATCTCATTGTAAACACGATGATTCTCCCAAAAATTGAATCGGTTGAATTTAATGATGAATTGGATGACAGTTATTTCAAATATTGTATATTTACTAAGGTGCTGTTTACCTAAGCGAACACCAAGTCACGTTGTTAATATGGTAAGGATTAAGAATTTTATCTCGGTAGGAGCAAGACAAAGATCAAGAGTCTTATTCGGTAAGTGAGGGTGATGATTTTTACTACGATAAGAGCTTGCCGGGTAAAATGTTGCATATGATTTTTTTGGTGGGTTAAAATTTTATCCGATAAGTAAATAATATTGTTAAATTTATCGATAAGTGCTTACTGGGTAAGTGTTTGGTAAACGACATTTAAGTCATTTACTTTTTTAACCAACATTATTTTATTGAATGAATATGATAAAAGATCAATAATCTTATTCGATAAAAACGAATGCAAGAACCTAAATTCTTTATCAGATAATTGATGGAGATAATTTTTATCTTATTTAACACTTACCGTATAAATTATTGCATACAGAATCCTATTTGGGTTACTGTTGGGAATTTATTTGAATCTAGGATATCGGGATGAGTCACATAACCATAGGATAGGGTTACTATTGGGAATTTATTTGAATCTAGGATATCGAGATGAGTCACATAACCATGGTATAGACATCTATGGTTAAAAAAAAGGTACTTTTAAGAGTTGCATGCAATATGCTAGGAAAGTGTAACCAATTTTTTTTTACATATGGTTTAGATATGGTAAAAATTAATATAAGTTTTTCTTTCAATTAAAAAAATGTAGAAAATCAATGTTTAGAAGTTGGATGATTTTTTTTAAATGTTTAGGATTTAATTTTAAAAAAAGGAGTTCAATAATTTATTTATAAAAATTTAGGAACTAAGGTGGTATGCAGACATGATCGGACATCACTGGACATGACTAGATAAGACATGACAAGAGGGTAGGATTGGACGGAACATGACTAGAGAGAACAAATGTCTATCTGGTATTTAGTATGACTAAGATTGAAATGAACATGACAGAACTAGAATAGTTGTCCATAAAAGTTATTTGATAATTTTATATATATCATATAAATAGTTATAATTAACACAAATAAAATATATAATTAAATAATTTAATTTATGAGCATTTTTACATAATTTTCATATACATAAATACATACATATATAACAATATCAAACTTGAATGAAAATTTTGATATAATTGATAGTAGTTTGAAAAAAAACCTGATTCGTATAAATGATAAATTATGTTTTGTTCGGTTTGCAAGATCGTTATAAATTGGTGATGGTGGTGTTGGTTGTGGTGAAGGTGAAGATGATGGTGACCGACAGTACTAGTGGTGGTGGAGGCGAAGATGGTGGTGACTGACAGTACTAGTGGTGGTGGTCGGTGGCCAACAATGGTTGTGGTAGTAAAAGTTGTTGTAGTGGAGGAGGAAGTGGATGTGGCCGACGTTGCCTATCGGATGTGGTCGTGACTAGCAGTAAATAACCACTAAAACAAATAACATATTAAAGTTATAAATCAAACGAAAATTAATTAGTAATATTTTAGTTTTTGTCTTATATACCAAACATAGCGTAATAGGTTAAAATAGAATGCTAAAATATAGCAGTAAACCTAGAGAAACGAAACTACTTAAAAAAAAAACAAAAAAGGAAGAGGCAGATTATTATATAAGCAAGTAGCAGATCTAGAAATCACCTACTCTCACTCACTATTATAAAATTTAATATTTTTATATATTTTGAGGAATCATTTTTTTATTATATAAATGGAAATCATTAGATGCCAAATATTTGTGGAAATTGTATAAAATATATATTTTAAATATTTTAATTTGTTTTATATTCATTTTATTAGTCGATCGATAAAAATAGTTAAGATTTTGCATTTGAGGGATATATTTTTTAAGAATCTCATATTCATAAAGCTTTTGCAAAGGGGTTTTCTAACCCCACCCCTCCTACACTCTTCTTTCTATATTTTCTATATCTCCTCTTATATATTATTTTTCAGTTTTAACCTTTCAACTTTTATAATATTTTGTTATTATATTTTTTATGTTTTTAATTTTTAATATAGATTATAATTATATAAATTAATTAACTTTATATTATTATTAATTAATAAAGTATTAATATTCTTTTAATAATTATATAAATTAATTAAATTTAGATTATTATCTATACTATATTATAAAACATTTGACAAAAACTCTTAAAAACCATTTTTTA